AATGAAAATGAATTTGAAATGAAAATGAATTTGAAATGAAAATGAATTTGAAATGAAAATGAATTTGAAATGAAAATGAATTTGAAATGAAAATGAATTTGAAATGAAAATGAATTTGGAATAGGAATGAAAATGAATTTGGAATGAAATTGAATTTGGAATAAAAATGAATTTGGAACGAAAATGAATTTGAAATGTAAATGAACTTGGAATGAAAATAAATTTGAAATGAAAATAAATGTGGAATGAAAATAAATTTGAAATGTAAATGAATTTGGAGTAAAAATGAATTTAAAATGAAAATGAATTTGGAATGAAAATGAATTTAAAATGAAAATGAATTTGGAATGAAAATGAATTAAAAATAAATAATCAAAATATCCGTAGCCATCTCGGCCACCATACTCGACATATCACCGATCAGTTCGATTATCAGACACGTATATATTCAACTTCAGTTATGAGGCATGTAGTTGCCCTATGACCTCTACCACTATAGTCCTTCCCCGCCATATCGATATGACTACTACCATGTTCTTTCTCGCTCCCACCCCGCTATTATTCATTATTTTTACTCTCATAGAAAGGGGATTAATGTACAATTGTGTAACATAAAAATAAAATACGAGGCATCATGCAGGCACAGCGACGAGTTGATTCCTCAGACGTGGAACCGACCTGTGATATAACTACGTTACGCAGATGCCTATTCAATAAAGAAATCTGTTAATGACAGGTGCTCAGCATGTTTTATTTAGTTTATGTTTTACGTATTGTTCCCTGATCCCAATTATTATTTTTACCCCATCGATCATGATAAAACTCATCACCAATGAATGTATCTCTCCTTCTCCTCCTCTTCTTCTTCTTCTTCTTCTTCTTCTTCTTCTTCTTTTTCTTACCCCTCCTCCTCCGCCCCTCGTCGTCCGCCTCCTCCTCTCTTCCTCCGCCTCCTCCCCTCCTCCTCCTCCTGTTCCTCCGTCGACTCATCATCTATTTTTCTTTCTTTCCTGCGTTCCCTTGTCGTTTTTATTCGCGTCGGGTCTACTACTAGTTATATACACGATTAATCACCTCGTTCGGCGTTGGGCTCTTCGAATGCTCTCTCCCTCATCATCTCTGCAATTATTCTTCCTGTGGGAGAAGAAAAAACGTTGCTACATTCAATTGCCTGTATTAAACACGGCAGTGAAACTATCTCCGATTGCATACAATAGAAATAGTTGGTGATAAACTGAAACCTGAATAGATCGACACCTCCCACACACATAAACAAACAAGCAAACACATGCGTACACACACACTCACACACATACACGCATACATACGCACACACGCACACAAACACACACACACACACACACACACACACACACATACACATACACATACACATATACACTCACATATACACTCACATACACACACACAGAATATACGACCACAGCCCGGCCGCTCTGCGCCACACGACACACCAGTACACGATCGCACCACGCCACGCGCCATCACACACCAGACCACACACACAACACACACCGCGCGCGCACTACAACTGCACACGCCACACAGACACATGCATCACACGACACATACACCAACACTCACAGCACACACCACAACACAGTGACACTACCACCACACACACACCATCACACAGCACAACACACACCAGTATATACTACACACACATACCACCACACACACACGACACCACACACACACCAGCACATCTACACACACACACACACAACAAACACGACACTAACACACACACACACCAACACACACACCAGCACCACACACACACAACACAGCACAACAATAGCATACACGCACACGCCACATACAGCACGCTACACGCATCAGGGCGCGCACACACGATCGGTGCGTGCCGCACGGCGAGCACCCGTGACCGCCGCCTTGCGTGCGTGCCGTGCCGTGTGTGCGTGGCAACGTGGGTCTGCGCGCGCGCGCCGTTCTCCTTCTCCTGCGGCTTTCTCTATGACTGGC